TATATATATATTTGGCTTTTGAGCCATCAAAGATCATCCGATTGAAATGATTTTTCCCTCAAATTATATTTTGTCTCTCTATATCAGTTTGTGATATCTCTACACAAAAACACATGCAAAAAACTACTTACTAGTTAATTATAAAAATAATAAAATATATCCACTACCTCACATGTGGGTCGAAAGTTTGCGATTTGATTAGCTAGTGAACATTTGATGCAATTGCAAAAAAAAATGAAGAGCACAACTTTGACTAGTTGAAATAAATCATATATATCGACTAACCATAGTGATGACAGAAAGTAAATATAAAAAAAGCAGACATATTTTAAGTATACAGCACATCCCACCGGCCTTTATACAAATATTACAATGTAAACTAAGCTGACACTAAACACTCAAGGGAAATGTTGCAGTCCCGTTAGGGAACTATTTCGTCGGGGTTTGTAATCGTTAAATCATCATGTAACCGTCGTGGATAGTTGATCTAACGGTTACAAAATGATTCCGTAATAGGACCGTAGAATCTCCCAACACTAAAACAAGAAAAGAGTAAGGGTTTTCGAGTTGAAGAAGTGATGTCACGCAGAAAGTTGAGCTCTGTACACATAAAACCTAACCAAAAGCAGAAAGAAAATGAAGTTAAAGAAGTTGAGAGCGGCCAACAGCGCATAGTAATAATCCAAATGGGAGTTGTTGAGGTCATTCCCAACCCACCCCTCTTCATGATCTCCCTTGGTGAGCCTCGAAACAGTGGACAACAAAAGGGTACTAAGGTAATTCCCCACTCCAAGGCTGACCATGGAGTAGGACGTCCCCAAGCTCTTCATTCCTTGGGGCGCCTGGTCGTAGAAAAACTCGATCTTTGCCACTTCCAAGAACGCGTCGGCAATCCCCATCAACACGAACTGGGGCAGCAGAGTAAAGACGGACACTTGTTGTTGCTCGTGTCTCGTCCTCATCCTCGTCCTCCTGTAGCTCTCGGTGAAAGTTGCGACCACCATTATGATGATGTGAATGAACATGCCGATCCCCATTCTCTGGAGGAGGCTGATTCCGCGTGGGTCGCCGGTCCATCTGCGCAGGATTCTCACGAGGATGCGGTCGTAAAGCACTACCGACACCAACATGGATATCGTGACCATTGAGGCTAAGCTGGCTGGGGGAATCTCGTGCCTCCCGCCGATGCTTCGGTCAAGAGTCGTGCCTTGCTTCACGAACAGCGTGGTTACCTGCGAGATCATTGCAGTCGGGACGAAGGTGGTGATTAGGATTGGTATCATTTGGATCATTTGTTTGGTTTCCTCGACATGGGTCACCGGGCATAGCATCCAGGGGCTGATAGAGGAGGACTTTGTTCTCACACAAGCTCTGTTCAGGAACCTGATCATATTCAATAATTCAATTCATGGATTAATCTAACTCAAATGTGTACTCAAATCAATCAAAGTCTGCGCGTAGATTTGAGATCGGAATGCAAACCTCAACGTAGGCGTGGACCTAATCCGGTAATTTCCCTTCCGACTGTACGTTTCGACATCCTGCTCGTAGAACTGTGTAGCGTCCGTCGGGATGGGGACGTTCCGTTTTCTTACGGCAGCGAAAATGACCTTAGCCATTTTCGTGAGAGGGCTTCCCGAGGGGAGCTTGTGCCGGTAAAGTGGGGTGCCCATCAGAAATATGATTATCGACAAGGCGAGCCCGATGGTCGGGATCCCGTAGCCGAGCGTCCATCCCTCGTTGTCTTGTATGTACACAAGCAATGTGTTTGAAATCAATGTACCAAAGAATATGCAAAACATCCACCAGTTGAAAAAAGAGAGTTTGTGGGATTTCTCTTTTGGGTTCATCTCATCAAACTGGTCTGCCCCAATGGTGGAGATATTAGGCTTTGTTCCACCAGTGCCTATAGCCAGTGTGTATAGTGCAGCAAAGAATACACCTACTTGCAATGGTGTGGCCTTCTTGCAGGTAGCACCACTTGGATCAAGGCAGGAGGTTGGTTTCAGAGGGTATATTGAAGCTGATAAAGTTAGAAGTGACATTCCCTGTACACACAAAATAAACAAACTCATCAAATAGATAATGATTAAGGGAGATGCTACGGTCCTGTTACGGAATCATTCCGTCGAGATTTGTAACCGTTGGATCAACTATTTCCGACCGTTATATGATGATCTAACGGTTACAAACTTGACGGAAAGGTTCCGTAATGGGACCGTAGCATTTTCCGATGGTTAAATACAGCGTTTTTTTTGGCCTTCTATTCAAGTAAATTTGTGCTAATGTCTTATTCTTGAATATACTCTTTTCACCCTATTGTATAATACTTATTTATATATTTCTAATTTAAATAAATCAAATGTATAATGTATGTAACAATTTAAAAATTGGTAGATAAAAAAGCACACTAGATATGCTTAGTTTGGAGATTTGTAAAAAAGTATTTGTATTGAATAAGTGGATAATGAATATCATGAGTAGAATGAATGTTTAGTTGAATTTTATTACTACAAAAGTTTATCAGGTATATTGTATATTGTTCTGTATTTTATTAATATTTAATTATTTTACAATGATTTTTTTTATATACATTAAATTAAATATGTGGTTACTAAAGCAAGTATTTCTGTCTCCCTAAAAAAATTCTCGATCTCCTCGGGTGCGGTGAATATGTTATAGTTATGTGTTTCATTCGTATAACTCTTTGTACTTTTAAGGATGAAAAAATTAAAGTGTAAAAGCATTATGCGGTGAATATATAACAGTTATGTAATTGATATGCAATAGTTATGCAGTTCATTCGCTTGGTGTTAACACTTTCTGGAGTGAAAAAGCAAAATTGTAAGCGGGTGGTGCAATAAACTTAAAAAACAGTATATTTGTAATTTAATAATAAAATGTATAAATATTATATACATATAAAACGAAAGAGTTTATGTATATAAGAGAAGGCAAAATTACATTTTTAGTTCTGTTGGTTTAATGCCATAACATTTTCAGTCTCAAAATTCTAAATATTTGTCTTTTGATCCTGTAATTTAATATTTTGCTATAACGCAAAAAAAAAAAAAAAATTACAGGACTTAAATTGAAAAAAATTTTGATTAGCAATTTAAATCCTGTGATTTTAAATTTTGTTACATTTTAAAATCACAGGACCAAACAGTAAAAATGTTCAATTATTAAGACTAAAAACTTCAGTGAATCAAACCTACATGATTAAAATTACAATTTTGCAATGATGTAATTTTTTTATAAAAGAAACGTTAACATACCGTGAGATAGATAACGGAAGCAACGAGGAAAGTCCAGTAACGGCCCAAAATGGCGTCAGCCACGTAAGCACCCAAAACAGGAGTCATCCATACAGTTCCGACCCAATTGGTGACATTGTTAGCCGATTCAACGGTGCCTTGACGGAGTTTCTTGGTCAAATAAATGAACAGATTTGAGGATATCCCATAGTAGGCCATCCGCTCAAATACTTCATACACTGCACATATATAGTTATATATTTATATTCATTCATCAATTTTGTTGAAATAGCACCATTTTTATTATTTATTTATTTATTTATTTATTTATTTATTATTATTATTATTATTATTATTATTATTATTATTGTTATTGTTATTGTTATTCTAAGTTAGAATTTATAAAGTGTTCCAGCAGAATGAGAAAAAACTTTAGGTTTAGTCAAATATTATCAACTTTTTTACTAAAATCATTCTTAATTTTTTTATTAATGAACATTGAAGAAGGCAATTACGAGTACACATTACAAAAAAATAATAATAAAAAATTAAAAAAAAGTATTGAGCAAAAAAAAAAAAATATTCTTCGCTAAAATCACGAGAGAGAACATGATAGAGTACGAAAGAGTTTCTGTTGTATTCATCGTAGAACGAGTTTTATACAAAAATATATAAATAGATTATTTGTCCATACACATAATTAATAATATGAGTGGGTGAAATGGAAGCAATAAAAATTAAATTAAATTTAAAAAAAAAAACCAAATAAATAAAAGCATAACAATAACAATAATAATAATAATAATAATAATAATAATAATAATAATAATAATAAATTAGTACCAACAACAAAGGAACAAGCAGTCCATCCACCAGTGTTTGATCTCAAAATAGGGTTGCCTTTGATATCCACAGTCCCATCTTTAGTGTAACCATCATCATTTCCCTTCTCTTCTTCCATAGCCAAGTATCTATGATGTGAGCTTAGTTCTGCTACTCTATACTCCATTTTTTTTTTCTATTTTTTTTTTTCCAAATTTTTCTAGTAATAATTAATTGCTAGTGTAAAATGAAGGACCCTCTTATTCAAAACAAGGAGCAATATTTTATTAAACAAAAGGGGAAAAGAAAATTTGGTGTTAAATAATTTGGTTTCATAGTTGTAAATATCATCATGCTGAGGAATCTTTGAATTATTAGGGGGGGAAATTAAAAGAATGCATAATAAGTCTAAGAAGATGTGATTGATATTTGAACCAAATGTATTATCTTTTATTTTTTTATTAGCCAAAACGGTATTCTGAGCTTTGTCTTGACTAATCCGTTGATCAACCGCGGTCGCAAACATGTCAATTGGTGTGTGAGTTTCCCAACAAGGGTATTCTGTATTCACGAGAACTCGAACACAAGATCTGGACGTCAAACTGTTTACCACTTGAGTCAACACGTGTTGGTAACGAAATGTATTATCTTTAGAGGCTTCATATTCTTCTTCCTCTTGCTTTTGGGGAAGCTATAAAAGTCGTTGATTATGAAACTTTTGACACACACACAGTTGGCAAAATGATTCAAATATCATTCATGCGACCAACCCTAGTGAGCTACGTCTGAATATATATGGAATGTACTCCGCTCCCTAGTGCAATTTAATGGATATGGTTGGAATTTGGTGAGAAAAAAAAAAGGAACAATTGTGGGTGAAGAAATGTTAGTGAAGAAATTATTAATTTTTATTCAAAATGTGTGGAGAAATGAGAGAAAAAGTAAGATAAATAAAAAAATAATAATTTTTTGATTGGTGGATAAATAAAGAAAAATGAAATTATATCTAAATATTGCATATATTTGTCTTTTTTTTTTCCCAACGTAAATGAAAATTCATTACTCAATAAATATTGTCTTACAATATGCGGCCTAATTAGGCACAGTAGTCACTCGCACAAGCATAAACACTAACTTGAGTAACCCCAGAATGATTATAAATCTTACCAATCACCTTGGATAGCCATCTTGGCTAGAAAGCTACAATCTTTTACAAACACTAACATCAAACACAAAAACACAAGAATTAAAAAGGGAAACTGAATGCTTAAGGGATGTTGCCTCTTCTCCCCTCTGCACTTGATCTTCCGAGATGTTATGAATCCACTCCACCACTTCCTTGTTGTCTACATAACAGTTGATATTCATCCACCCCTTCTTTTTGGCTTCCTCTAGCACCCACACAATGCCTACAAGCTGGCCTCCACTAGACTTCCTTGGAAATCCCTAGATGCATCCAAAGTTGTAGCGTTGTTTTTGAAAGCTTTGCCTCCCAGCCCCAACCTGCCATTTTGTGTCCAACAGCTCATAGCAACACAGATGTTGGTTTCCTGCTCCCTTTCTCCATCCCTGCTCAGGCTACCTTCTACTACTCTCTCCTGCAACAGATCACTCCCCCTGCCCCAAGATTGATAATCTCTTCTACCTACCCTCTCACTCTCCTCACAGCCACTAAATGTTTTTCACTCATCAACTGCCCTTTGCACTATTCTCTCCTCCTCTACCCATTTTTTTTCAAAAACCCAACTATTCCTAGTTTTCCAAAGCCACCACATCAAATAAGTAGACAGACTGATTCTATCAATCATGTGGTTAGCTTTTGGAGCATTACAAACCTCTCTCCACCACACCCCAAAATCCACTTCTTGATTTTCTCTACTCTCCCAACTAACTCCCAGCAATTTCCAGCACAACCTAGCCTTATTACAATGAAACATAATGTGATTTAAGTCTTCCTCCCCTTCCCCACAGACCTCACAGATCACCTCATCTCTCAACCCTCTCTTTCCCAACTGCACCCTAGAACTAATAAACCCATGCTAACACCTCCACAAAAAATTCTTGAGCTTGTTCTGAATAGGAAGTCTCCATGTAGTTTTCCACATTTTTCCATCCTGGCTATGTCTACTGTAAGACCCCTTATCCCTAGACCCTTGCTTGCTCTGCTGCATTATCAGCTCATAAACATTTTTAACAGAAAAAATCCCACCCTTCTTTCCATGCCAAACTACCCTATCTCTCATACTACCAGCATTAAGGGGAATGTTAAGAATAGTTGTGGCTGTATTTGGCTCAAAAGATTGAAGAATAAGCTCTCTATCCCCAAGAATGGCCCCCCTCTCTCATAAGATCCCTAACTTTAGAAATTCTACATCTGTCCTCTTCAAATCTACATTTAGGAGTAAACCCATGAACGTCAGGAATCCATGGAGTATCCCTAACCCCAGCTGTCATCCCATCCCCTATCCTACATCTAATTCCTAGATTCAAAGATTTTCTAGCTCCTATACAACATTTCCAAAGCCAAGAATCCCCCCCTCTAACCTTAGCCCCCCAAATGGTGGAATTGGGAAAATACCTGCCTTTAATAATTCTACTCATCAGCAGATTAGGTCTAATTATCACTCTCCACAACTGTTTCACAAGAAGAGCTTCATTAAAGGCTCTTAAGTCTTTAAATCCTAATCCCCCTTCCCCTTTTGGTTTAGCTAACCTATCCCATCTAGCCCAATGTCACTTATTCCCTTCCCCATCATTTTTTCCCCACCAGAAATTAGTTGTTTCTTTGCAAATATCCTCACACACTGATGATGGAACTATATAACAAGACATTATGTATGTTGGGAGAGCCCCAACCACAGTTTTTATCAGAATCTCTCTCCCTGCCTCACTCAAGTATACATTTTTCCAATTTGAAATTCTGTTTCTCACAGCCTCATTCACAAAAAGGAATGTTTCTCTCTTAGACCTGCCAATCCCCAAAGGGAGACCAAGGTACTTAGAAGCTTTGACACAACTAACTCCCTGAAGAACACTACACACATCAGAGATAGTGGAATTATCAGAATTTTTGGAGAAGAAAATAGAGGATTTGTTAAGATTCACACACTGACTTGAAGCAAGACCATATTCATTAAGAATGTTCAAGATGAGCAGGGCATGCTGGGAATCAGCTTTGCACAATAATAAGGAATCATCTGCAAAAAATAGATGAGAGATAACTGAGCTTTTTTGGCAATTCTAATCCCCTGATAGACTCTCTTAGCCCTATCTTGAAGAATTAAGTTGGAGAAAGCTTCAGATACTATGATGACCAGGTAAGGGGGCAGAGGGTCCCCTTGCCTCAACCCTCTACTAGCCCTCACATACCCTGCACTAGCACCATTCACATTAAAGCTAAAAGTGGTAGAACACACACAAGCAAGTATCCAATTCACAAACTTTTGACAGAACCCCATCTTAATGAACACTCTAGCCAGAAATCCCCACTCTATTCTATCATAAGCTTTGGACATATCCAGCTTAACTGCCATATAATTATCCCTACCAGCCCTCTTACCATTGAATACACTCATTTGCAATAACTGCATTGTCTAAGATTTGCCTTCCTGGAACAAAGGCAGACTGGGCAGATGAGATACAAACATGCAACACAATTTTAAGCCTATTAGCAAGGACTTTGGCTATGAGTTTATACAAGACATTGCAAAGACTGATAGGTCTGAGATCAACAACTTGGGTAGGATTTTTTTTTTCAGGGATCAAGGTAATGATAGGATGGTTAATCCCTTTGGGGATTCTCCCACTGCTACAAAAATTGGAGATAACCTCCACCACATGACCCTTAACAGTAGACCAGAAGCTAACAAAAAATCCAACAGTCAATCCACCTCCCTTGGTGCTTTATCTTTATCCATATCATTGAGAGCCTCCCAAATCTCTTTCTCAGTAATATTCTCAGTCAGACTTGAGTTCATTTCTGGAGATATGGAAATAGGGATTCCCTCAAGACTACACTTGTCCACACAGGGGTTGGAAGTTTTGAATAAGTTGATAAAATAGTGCTCAAGAACTCATACAGTCTCCTCATTCTTCTAATGGTTAATCCCTTTGGGGATTCTCCCACTGCTACAAAAATTGGAGATAGCCTCCACCACATGACCCTTAACAGTAGACCGGGTGCTAACAAAAATCCAACAGTCAATCCATCCTCCCTTGGTGCTTTATCTTTATCCATAACATTACTGCTCACTAGTACATCTATTCCCATCTGCATTACACAAGCTATCAAGACACTTATTCCTTCTTCTAATGTTAACAGAGGCTTGGAAAAACTTAGTGTTTTTGTCACCGCACTTAAGCTAGTTAATCCTAGCTTTTTGTTGCCAGAAAGCCTC